CTGCAAGATAGAGGGTTAGGAGCATGTATGTATATAAAGCATAAAAAATGCACATCAAGATGTACTTAGCACTTGAAGTGTCAAGCCCCTATTTCTATCCTATTAGTCATATCTTCTTAGAGGGAGGGGGTTAAGCAGTACCTATCATGTAAGCAATATTATTTATAATTTATTGAACCACCTTTTTGGATATGGCCACCTACAAGAAGAGCATATATATATATACTGCTGCTTATGAGTCATAAGATATAATGATGCAACCATTCCGCCTTTTGGGGTGGAATAATTGATCATTATATTAAAGGAACTTAGGTGATTTTTAGATATTTTGGGGTTCTCTTATTCGATTGGGCTCGATCGCACTCGATCAACTCAATTGACCGTCATTGAGGGCCAATTAACCTAAATCGGACCCCAATTCGATGAAATTAAATTTAATTTCATCAAATTAAAATAAATTTGATGGAATCGACCCAAAATCAATCCAAATTGAACCTCGCCAAGCCAAATTCGACGCATTTTGGTGCCAACTCGAGTCCAATTTCACTGAATTAGCTCGATTGGACCCAATCGAACCTGAATTGACTCAATTCGGTTCGCGACGAGTCCAATTCGAACCCAATTTCAGCCTACTACTTGGTGAAAAACAGAATGAAAGACCCCACAAAAAAATGCCTTAGCCGCTCTCCCTCTCACGCTCTCATGCTCTGTTTGGATGCACGCAAGTAAGAGAGGCCGAAAATGGCTCTCTTCTCTCGTCTCCTGCCTCTCTATATAAGAAACGAGGCCCTCTTTACTTGAGGACATGATTTCTTGCACTCGATTAGATCTTCCACCGCATAAATCATTGGGATTTGACGCGAAAGTAACTGATCTTTAAATTTTAGCTGTTTGATTTAATTTTCTGATTTGGGAAAATGATTACAAAAAGCCAAGAAGCCGATTTAACCTATTTGGGATCAAATTGAAGTTGAATAGAGTTAATTTGGCTAAAGTTGAGTCTGAATTGGGCTCGACCCAAACTGATTTAGGTTGATTCAGATCCGATTGGGTTCAATCAAGCCAATTGAGTGAAATTGGACTCGAATCGAAGCCAAAATGTGTAGAATTTGGTTCGATGAGGCTCGATTTGGACTGCTTTTGGGTCGATTCCATGAAATTCACTTTAATTTGATGAAATTGAATATAATTTCATTGAATTAGGGTTTGATTTAGGATAATTTATGCTCGATGACGGTCAAGTGAGTTGATCGAGCCCAATTGGGCTCGAATCAACTCGATCCATGCTGAGTCGACACGAAAAACACGTCAATAAGTTCATTTATAGTATCAATACCAGTAAATTCATATAGGATAAAGATACTCATGGGGATATCAATTACTTAAGTGGGAGAGATTGTGAAGCCCCTTAAGTAAAAAGAAGTTAAACATTTAAAACATCGCGGTGCCTGTTGGTGTAATGGCTGAAATTTCATTAAGAAACTCCGCAGTTAAGCGTGCTCATACCGGAGAAACTCTGAAATGGGTGACCTCCTGGTCAGTTACACCAACAAGATAAAATCGTGAGGCCACTAGGCCAAAGTGGACAATATCTCAATAATTAAAAGTTTGAGCTGTTAAAAATAGTGTCAAAGCAATACACTAGCCGGAAGATGAAAACTAAGTGTCATATCAGACAAAGTGCTACGTCATGGGATCCGTCTCTTGAATCATGCATGGGATAAAGTGATACGTGGAAGGAGTCACTGCTTGAACTTATAGGTGCCACCTCTAGAATCATATATACCTAGTAAATAATCTTGGGATAAAAATACTGACGGTGAGATTAGTTACTTAAGTGGGAAGATTGTGAAACCTCTTAAGTAAAAAAAAGCTAAACTCTAAAAATATCAAAGCACCTTTTAATGTAATGGTTTGAATTTCATTAAAAAAATTTATGGTTAACCATGCTCATCTCGGAGAAATCCTAGGATGGATGACCTCCTGGAAAGTTACACCAACAGGACAAAACTATGAGACACTTAAGCCAAAGCGAATAATACTCAATAGTTAAGAATTTAGGTTGTTACAAATGGTATCACAGCAATAAACCAACCAGAAGATGAAAACTAAGTGTCATACAATACAAAGTGATATGCCATGGGAGACACTTCTTGAACCCTGTATGAAATAAAGTGTTACATGGCGGGAGTCGCCACTTGAACTTGTAGGGGCTACCTCTAGAATCCCATATGTATGGTGGATAATTATAGGATAAATATACTGACGAGGACGTCAGTTACTTAAGTTGGGAGATCATGAAACCTCTTAAGTAAAAAAAAACTAAATTCTTAAAACATTAAGGCACCTTTTGATGTAATGGTTGAAATTTCATTAAGAAATTATGCAGTTAAGTATGCTCATCCCAAAGAAATCCTGAGATGAGTAACCATCAGGTTAGTTACACTAACAGGACAAAACCGTAAGACCTTTAGGTCAAAGCAGACAATATCTTGATAATTAAGAGTTTGGGCTATTACAAATGGTATCAGAAAATACACCGGCCGGAATATGGGAACTGAGTCTGAGTGTCATACAAGATAAAGTGCTACACCATAGGAGCCACCTCTTGAAACTATACATGGGACAAAGTGTTATGTGGCAAGGGTCACTTCAACTTCAGGGGTCTTCAGGGGCCACTTCTAAAATTCTATCTACCTAGTGGGAATAATTTTAAGATAAAGATACTAAAAGGGATGTCAGTTACTTAAGTAGGATAGATGGTGAAACCCCTTAAATAAAAAGAAGCTAAATTCTTAAAATATTGAGGCATTTTTTGGTGTAATGATTAGAATTTTACTAAGAAACTTTGCAATTAAGCGTACTCATCCCGGGAGAAATCCTAGGATGGGTGACCTACTGAGAAGTTACACTAACAGGATAAAACCATGAGGTCCTTAGGCCAAAGCAGGCAATATCTCGATAGTTAAGAGTTTAGGTTGTTAAAAATTGTATCAGAGCAATACATCAACTAGAAAATGAGAATTAAGTGTCATACAAGACAAAGTATTACACCATTGGAGTCACCTCATGAATCATGTATGAGACAAAGTGCTACATAGTGGAATCACAGCTTGAACTTGTAAAGGCCACCTCTAAAATTTTATCTTCTTGGTGGATAATTCTGAGATAACGATACTGACAGGGACCTCAGTTAGTTAAGTGAATGAGATTGTGAAATGTCTTAAGCAAAAAGAAGCTAAACTCTTAAAACATTGAAGCAACTGTTAGTGTAATGGTTTAAATTTTATCAAGAAACTCCACAATTAAGTGTGTTCATTCTGAATAAATCCTAGGGTGGGTGATCTCTTGGGAAGTTACACTAACAGGACAAAATTATAAGGCCCTTAGGCAAAAGCGAATAATATATTGATAATTTAAAATTTATGTTATTACAAATAGAATCAGAGCAATACATCATCCAGAAGATAAGAACTAAGTGTTATACAAGACAAAGTGTTATGAGCCACCTCTTGAACGATGTATGGGATAAAGTGATAAGTGGCGGGAGTCACCACCTAAACTTATGGGGGTAACCTCTAAAATACTGACGGGGGCGTCAATTACTTAAGTGGGGGAGATTGTGAAACCCCTTAAGTAAAAAGAAGCTAAACTCTTAAAACATCGATACGCCTTTTTGTGTAATTGTTAGAATTTTATGAAGAAACTCTGCAATTAAGTGTGCTCATCTCGGAGAAATCCTATAATTAGTGACCTCTTGGGAAGTTACACCAACAGGACAAAACCGCGAGACCCTTTGGCCAAAGCAGACAATATCTCGATAGTTAAAAGTTTGGGCCGTTAGATTGAAGTTGACTATCATTTTATCAGTGACCACATTAAGTCCAACGTAATCAAGGTTCTACATGTCAACTCTCAAGTCATACCAATAGATGTCTTCAATAAATCACTCCCTTACAACATGTTTCCACAAACTTTGGGACAAGCTGACACTCTAAACACAGATCATCACCTTCAGGGGAGGTGCTAGTTATAGCCATAACATCACTGGTGGGCATCAGGAAGTGCCACAATCATCCTCTTTGCACAACGCCTTTCAGCCACAAGATGATAACAAACCAAAAGACCCAAACATTTAAACAAAACACAATAATTCTATTCTAACCACCTAAAGTTCCCATTGTCTTTCATTTATTCTATATAAGCAACGTACTACAGTTCCTTCTAATTATGAAGAAAGGAATACTAGTGAAAATTTTTGACAAAACCATCTCTTATGGCTTTATTATAGTTCGCTGTTCCTCTGCCTTTTCTTGTCCTAGATTTCTGCAATACAGAATACTATGTTTTCCTACCATAATCCATTCTACATAAACGAACTTGAAGTAGAAATAATTCAGCAAGAAATACCCAACTCATTAAAACTGGAACCAACTAAAAAGCAATCCAGAAATAATAATGCCAAACAATGCAACACCACAAGTTAAATCAAAACAGTGAAGACTACAAATTTCCTTCACTGTTCCAAGTGACAAACAATGCAATACCACAAGTAAAATCAAAACCGTGAAGACTACAAATTCCCTTCACTGTTCCAAAGGACGCATTACTAAAATCCTCAATCAAATCGACCTTGAAGTAGAAATAATTCAGTAAGACAACAGATCCAACTAACTAAAACTGGAAATCAATTAAAAACAAATCCAAAATGATAATAACATAATCAATGGAAAATCACAAATTAAAGCAAAAAGTGAACACTTCGTATGCCCTACAATGTTCCAAAGGACGCACTGCACAAATTCTCAGTCAATACGAACTTGAACTAGAAAAATTTCAGCAACGCAACAGTCCAAAATCAAACCAACCAAAAATTTATAGTGAAAATAAGCTCCCGCAAATAAACATCGGTAAAAAATGTCTCCAGAAGGCATCAAATCCTCAAAGAAAATAGAAAATTCAAAACAAAAATAGAAACATGAATCGAGCGGAACACTCACAATTTAGTGTTTCAGAGCGCCGAACGCTCGCAAGAAGCTTTTGCTCAGCCGGAAACTGGCTCGGATCCAGAAGAATCATGGATACTCCAAAAAATGGTGAGAAGGTTCTCGCACTCTTCCCACGGCCGAAGCATGGGCGAAATGACAGGAAGTAAATAGTTGGTATAGCTTTTATTGCAATCGATGAACGGTTTTAATTGGGCTCTCTTTTTTTTTTTTTTTTTAAGAAATGATTAAAAGAACAAAAAAATCTAATACAAAATAGAAAGCAAAAGCAAATCCTTTAAAACTACCATAATAGATATGTGATCCACTAAATTTCAATTTAGATCCATTGGGGTGATGGGAATACCAAATAATTAAACAACCTAAAAGGTTGGTTAGTATCCCAGCTTTCCCAAAATATGGAAAATGAAACCTAGTAAAAATCTCATATTTCATCATAATGATTTTAAAAAGGTATATGAAGCTAATAAGCAAAACAAGTAAATGAAAGCTAGTTATAAGAAAAATAAAAACAACAACTAAACCAGCTATCCAAACACCAACCAGACCCCCCTCGATCTTAGGGTCCAACAAGCTCCAATCAAGAGAAGAAAACGTTGTTGTTGCATCCATACAACCGACAACAGCCACTATATTCCAATGTAGAATCATAATACCGTCAACCATCTCAAGAAGCCAATAACCTGCCTCAACAATGCCAGTACCAACCAAATTGATATTCATCATCTCTCTCATCATATTGACAAGAGAAAACACAAAAAACTCATCATTACAAACCTCAACCAACAACCTCCTCAACATAGTCGATCCGTTGTATGTTTAATTTGTTGGTGGAAGTACATAGTAAGAAAATAATTATAATTTTCATAAATTTTTTATTTAAATATGAAAAATTATTTCTTAATAAGATAATCATAATTCATTTGATACTTATTTATTTTTGATCTTATTCATTAGCTTGTTTAGATTCTTATTTAGTTAATTGGGCAAGTAAAACACAAATCAAGCTCAACCATAAACAATTCTAAGTAAAACAAGTATGAACATATATTAAATTACTCACAGTAAAGCCAAACCAAATCAAATTCATGGTGTGCTCACCCATTTCATAGTGATTTTATGAGGAGAGCTATCCTCCCAAAAAATAAAAGTACTATGAAGCTCCCATATACATAATAAATATATATATTAATATCATACAATTTTATTTGGAAAATATTTTACTAGCCATTATGAATAACATGATCACATAGTTGCATCGATGAGAGTCTCATAGCATGAATGACTAGTCTTTCCCAAGAGGGGAGCAAAAAGAGTAGTCAAGTCAAACTACTTCCTAATTGGTAGAGAAGTTATTGGAGTGAGATAAAGACCAAGAGTTATAGAGTGAACTTCATCGCACTAGAGAGAGAGATTGAATTTTAATTAAATTTTAAGTATTAGCCTACATAAACTACATAGATTTAGGAAGAGTTCATCTATGAAGAATAATTTTTTTTTTCACACAAATTATCTTTCAATTAGAAACATGGTTCCAACTAGGTAGACAATGAGGATGTGTGTTATTATTCAGGTAACTAATGTGTCTATTAGATGATGAAAATGAAAAAGTACACGTTGCTACATGTCAAATCCTTGAGGGCTAGTTAGACTTGTCCAGTATTAGACGTGACAAGGAAGTTGAGAGGATAAGATTGCAGGATTGTTGAGTGCCACATGTTAAGAAAGCATTTTTGCATTTGACAATGATGATTTTAATGGGACATATGTGATGAGTTATAATGTGGGCTTTGAAAGATGTATCATAAGGGAAAACAAATATAATATCTCAAAATATGAATCTAAACCCTCCTCATGAGTTCATAGTAAGCTAGACAAATTACACATTAATTTATTATTTGAATACTTAATGGAGAATGGTTTGAAACCTAAAAAGATTGAAGAAAACTGATTTAGCACAAAATAGAACAAAATGTGGTTTATTTAGTTTTGAGATCTAGTTTCCCATAAGAGCAATTTTCTATGATTAATTGTATTTTAAGGTTTTTATATTCTAAGAAAACTCTAGATTAAATACATGGCTTTTGGCATATGAATATCACAATACTAATCAAATGTGAATATTCAAGAATATCAAAAGAAGATGACTTATAATATGGAAAGGTGAGTATAGAATCCAAAATGAGATAACATTAGGATGCCCCTAAAAAACTCAAGATTACTAAAGTAATATAAATCTATATTGAGCTTTATTTTTTAAATTAATGATCCTTTCGAGCCCATCTTTAAGTTGATTATTTTATTAGAAACTAGGCCTTACTATTTTGTCATGATAGTGATTAAACGAATGGGTAATTGCCTAGAAAAGAATTAAAATATCACGGAGTGATGGTAGTCTTGAACCTTGATTTATCATAGGCACTTAACATACCATTATAGTATGAACCTTTGTCAAGCCTAATGTAAACAAATATAAAAGAGTTAGAACTTGAAACCACATTAATGGATAAGGAAGCCCATGATATTGTATTATAATTTTGCATGTGTGGGCCAAACATCTAAACCCAACTAAGCATGTCAAAACCTTGATGTTAAGTCCTAATAAAAATGCATGATACATGTAATATTTTTTTAAGAATGGGGCTTATGACCTCACCACTAAAGAAAAAAGCTATATGATCATGAAGGGTATGATATGATATTAGACTGGATGCACTACCCTTAAAAAGATAACAAAATAAATTAGAATATATAATTGTTGGCTACACACACATACATATGGGAATCAATATTAGGTCCTTATTGATTTAATATAGAGCACATCTTCAATAGATTGGGCACCGAATCAAATATTAACTACATCTATGGTCTACTAGATGGGATAAAATTGAGTATTTTGAAAGTGTTGGCTTAGAGCAAAATTATGCATTAAATTTTAAAAGAAATAAATTATATAGAAAAGATTGTCTTGTTTACTTATTAGGGTAGAAATATTAACATACTATGAATCAATAATAATATATCTTTAGTTCAATAATATTGTAAGTGAATGAAACTAAAATAACACACAATTTTAGTGCACAATAAAAAAAATAATTATATTCATATAATAAAAATACAAAATTTTTGAAAAAAAAAAACTAAGGAAATTGGTCTCTACCATAGATACAACCCAGACCTAAGATTTATACATAAATGAGATGACAGTTAGGTTTTTCAACATTAAACTCCATTTGTATCGCATTTTACCCTCGTACCTTTTGCATCATCCCAAATTAATGAGGAAATAGAATACAATAGGTTGAGATATAGATTTATAGTGTATTAGCCAAAAACCCACACCCATTTTTGAAATAATAGAGAGATAATGTTCACTTTAAGTAAATACATGAGTATAATGAGTGTTGATGAGCCTCTAGTAGTCTTTTCTAAAAAAATGTTAATAAAAAGAAAATAAAAAAATAATAAATATAATTACAGTATAATGGTACATTATATTTGAGATGAAAGAATAAGGCAATGTTATTGCATTCGGTGGGAAGCAAGATAATAAAAAAATAATAGTGGGATTCAAATATTCTATTAAGAATGTGGAGAGCCTTTACAAGATTTTAAAAACCTATGCAATCATCAATTCTTATAACTTTTTGATGGTGTCACATGAAGTGAAGGGTGCACGTGAAATTTTCAAAATAGAAATTATGTCTTCTCTGCCTTAGGATATGGTTCTTCTAATAGAAGTGTTATAACAGGGGGCATTATCCAATATTTCAAAAACCTCTATAACTCTCCTCTCCGCCTCTAACCTATGTTAACTCAATCCCCCTGGTGAAATCATTCCACCTCACCTCTTGGCAGCTCTCCTACTATGATTGATGAAGATATTAAAAAGTGGCTTTTTAGGCTCTTCATCCTCTTCTCCTGGTCCTAATGGGTTTAATTTTGACTTTGATAAGAAATCTTGGGATTGGGCCTCTCATTTTTAAGGCAATTAAATCTTTTTTCACAAAAGGCTATCTCACAAGGGGGTCAAAGCAAATACTATTACATTAATCCCTAAGAAGTCTCATGTTAGCTCCATCTCTAGCTTCAGGACCATCTCATTATGAAAATTTTTTTATAAGATTATTGCAAAGTTATTTGCATTAAGGCTTAAGCCCATTATGCCTTTTATTACCCACTATAGTCAAGACGGGTTCATATGGCAATGTGTTTCCACTGATAATGTTTTCCTTGCTTCTAAAATTTTGGGATTATTTAGAAAGAATTCAAACTTGAAACTCATGTTAAACTTGATATAAGGAAGGTATTTTATATGGTGTTCAGGGACTTTCTTTTCTCTAAGATGAAGCTAAAAGGATTTCCTCCCTTTATCATTGGGTGGATAAAACTTGCATTTATGATGTGCATTTTTCTATAAGAATTAATAGCTTTCTAGAAGGATTTTTTGCTTTCCAATCAAGGCTTACGCAGGGCTGCCTACTGAGTCCATGTCTATTTTATATTATTATGGAAGCTTTCTCCAGTATTATTGATTCATCCCTTATTGGTTTTGATGGCTTTTTCATAAATGGGTTCAATCTCTCTCATCTACTTTATGCATATGACTTACTGGTGTTTAGTAGAGCCTCTATCTCTAATTGTTACACCTTGATGGGGATCCTTAATACATTTGTCAGTTACACGGGTTTTTTATCAACCTTGAAAAAAGCTCCCTCATTCTTTCCCCAAATATTTTCAATGTCACCCCTTTATGTGAGGCCCTTAGAATTCATTCCCCTGCATAATACATCACATACTTGGGCATTCATGTTTCTCCTAAAAGGCCCTAGTATCTGATTTCTCTTCTCTTTTGGAGAAGACTACTAACAAATTATTTGGCTAGAAAGCTAGACTTCTTTCTCTTTCAGGTAGGTTATAGTTTTTAAAATATACTATATGGAATAATATTGCATACTGGATTAGAGGCTCCATTATATCCAAGACAACAAGTAAATTTATTGGGAAACCATGCTCTATTTTTGTTCTTTGGTGACTCCCATACCAAAAAATTGCAACTCATATCATGGAATAACACTTGTAAACCTAAACACTTGGGGGTCTTAGTATCCATGCTCTCATTGCTCTTAG